ACTCCCTCTATGTGGAGGGAGTCTACATGGAGGCTCCCTCTATGTGGAGGGAGTCTACATGGAGGCTCCCTCTATGTGGAGGGAGTCTACACGGAGGCTCCCTCTATGTGGAGGGATTCTACACGGAGGCTCCCTCTATGTGGAGGGAGTATAGAATCTAATGCCGCGTATGACGTCATCAGGAGTGTATAATATAGATATATGATATCATCTATGTTATCTATATTATACACTCCTGCTATTATTAACATATATGTCTGCATAGCATAGGTAGGATAGATAGCGTAGTTAGGAAACGTGGGAACGTTATATGTGCGATCACAATGTGAAGTATTACCGATATTTTTTTTTTCCTATCGGTTTTGTAAAGAGAGGGAGAAAGAGTGAGAAAAACAGAGGTAGAGGGAGTGAGAGAGAGAGAGTGTGCGCGCGCGTGTGTGCGCGCGTGTGTGCGTGAGTGGGCATGGGGGCTTGTGCGTGTGCGTGTGCGTGTGCGTGTCTGCGTGCGTGTGTGTGCGTGTGTGCGTGTGTGTACGTGAGTCACGGTGAGTGGGCATGGGGGCTTGTGCGTGTGCGTGTGCGTGTGCGTGTCTGCGTGCGTGTGCGTGCGTGTGTGCATGTGTGTGTGCGTGTGCGTGTGCGTGTCTGCGTGTGTGTGTGTGCGTGTGTGCATGTGTGTGGGTGCGTGTGCGTGTCTGCGTGCGTGTGTGTGCGTTTGTGATGTGTGTGTGCGTTTGTACATGTGTGTGTGCATGTGTGTGGGCGTGTGTGCGTGTGTGCGTGTGCGTGTCTGCGTGCGTGTGTGCGTGTGTGCATGTGTGTGTACGTGTGTGCGTGAGTGCGTGTGTGCGCGCGCGCGTGTATTAAGAGAAACAAGAATTGATACAAATTAACCTGTCGAAATCATTTCTGATTTCATCTCCATCCCGTGACACTTACTCTAGTGTGATAGGAGTCTGCGAGTAGCCATATAGACTGTGTACATTGTAGTGTAGATATTCTCCATCGTTCTGCACTCCTTCCATACACAGCGTGACGTCAGATAGCAGCACTGGTCCATTCATGCCCGGGTCCCTCGGCCATAGTGCCTCTGTTACAGACAGATAATGATTATATATAATAATAATATAATAATAATATAATAATAATCATATACTAGTCAT